CCCCCCCTCCCCTCCTCTGAGGCCCGAGTGGTTGGGTCAAACCACTAAATTTAATGAAATCTTAAAAAATCTTTTTCTTTACTCCTGGACATCAAGCAGTCAAACTGTTGGTATGAGTGAAAGAGCATGGAGTCCCCTTTCCCAAAAAATTTTAAATTCATGGCCCCAAGATCATGGGTTCTAGTGTAGGGCAGGGCTATATAGATTATATAGTGAAAATGCATTATTTCTTTAAAAATCTTTTTTTTTGCTCCTGTGTATTAAATAAACTTGCTAAGTACATAGTTATTATGAGCAAGAGTGCTTCTTCCAAAAATTGTGAAATTTATGGCTTGAGGATAAGGGGTTCTGGTGTTAGGGCGGAGCTCTATTGATTATTTGGTGGAAATGCATTAATTTTTTGAAAATCTTCTTCTATGTTCCTGGGTATCAAATAAACTAACTAAGTACTACATAGTTATGATGAACAAGAGTGCCTCTACCAATATTGTGAATTTTTTGGCTCCAGGGTCAGGGGTTCTGGTGTTAGGGCGGGGCTCTATTGATCATATAGTGAAAATACATTAAATCTTTGAAAATCTTCTTCTCTGTCTTTGGGTATTTACTTTTAACTTTTGAAATAAGTGGCCCCAGGGTCAGTGGTTCCTTTGGGATGGGGTGCATAACTGGTTATAAAATGGAAGTACATTTTCTCTTTGTCACTGTGTTCTACCTCTGGGTATTAAGTAACTCGAGTGAGCATGCTAAGTGTATTTATAATTATGATAAGCAATGGTGACTCTTTCAAAATTGGGAATTTCATAGCCTCTGGTTTAAAAACACGACCAAATCAATTGTTGGAAAGTTGTTACATGATACTCAGGTGACCTATAAGGCCCGTGGACCTCTTGTGTAATTATAGTATTTCGTATTTCCTTCCTTGTTGATGTTTCTGAAAAACACGATACATGTTTTATTGTAATTATTAATGTACCAATAAAAAAGCGATACAACTTGGTGATATTGAGAGGAAATGCATTGTAAATATTCCAGGTTTCAGATATTATTTCTGACAACAATTTTCATTCAAGACATATCATTTGTTAAAGGTAAGAATTTGTTTTGTTTTAAAAACAATAAAAATTGCTTTGATACCGTAAATCTGGAAATTTTTGCTGTAGATAAATTTTTAGCAAATATTCGAGTTCATTGCATTCGCAAAAATATTTTTCTTAAAAATAAAACACCAGTAAGAAACTGTAAACAAAGCAGTGGTTATTCGCAAAGTTTTGAAACGTAAAATTTAATCAACAGCATTTTGACCCGAATTCACAAAATAAAATCGACGTAAAAATTTCCAGATTTACAGTATTCATTGAATAACTCGACAACATACAGTAATAATAATTATCGGTATATTATGAAATCAAATCACAGTTAATAGTTAGAGAATCATTAACGATTTTCAATTAGTATCTAATTTTGCAAAAAGTACACTTCCACAATTTTACTATTTTTTATGTATTAATTTTGTTTCTCTTATAACCTCACGTACATAGTTGTTGACAGAGTCTCGGGCAACAGTTGATCTATCGGACCGGAGTGATATACATGTATGTTGACCAAGACCAAAGTCAACGGTTAAATCGGTGCTCAGGAATAAAAAAAATAACGTTTTCTATGATTTAGTCTTGATGATTAAACTAAAGTATTCTCTTTTAATTAAAACACATGTCCATAACATTTTTATCAGTTTCTAATTGTTTTAGAACACATTTTTAGTATGACCCTTTGTATACTGGGATATGGAAGATCCTATGATCTCCTGTACTTATTTTTTTTCTTTCTGAAATGTGTTTTTTTAAGTTTGGGAAATGGAACAAGTCAAAGATTGAAAGTGCTGGTCAATATTGTTAATGTGACTAAACATTGACTTTCTTTTTATCCCCAGAACTCCTTTACTCTTATGGGTTTGGACGCTGTCAAGATTAAATTTAATGTAGTGAATTCCTCATTCTTGCTCCATCCTCACATAAACCTTTCACATTAAAAAAAAATGCTTTCTAGACTCTTCCAGAAATCGAAATTACTCCCCAATAAGAGTTTGAACAAGACGACTAATATTTAAGAAAATAAAATATATAACTGTTTTGTGTGCTCTTGCAAGTCATTGCTCTTTTCAGGCCTTCGCTGTTTTGTCAAGTGTATCTCATTGTAAATTTGTTTTAATGGTTCAAAGCAAAATGAATTCAAGTTCCATTTTTCTTTTGAATTTCAGATATACAGGATACGTACATTTTTTAAAACTTAAAAAAAATGATTGTTTAGATATTCCTACACGCTGTCATTTTTACTCATTTTTCAAATTATTCGGTGATCTTGGAGTATTAAACTTTTTTACTCTCAAATGTTTCTTTAAAACAGTGTGAACTACCCCAAAATGATGTCTATAAAATTTCTTATGTGGCTTCAAGTCAATCAAAATACTTAGTGATAGTTTGTTGAATTTTGGCAAATATACATTGGTTGTTATTTGTCCTTGTCGCCAAGGACGGTACCCATTTTTGATGTCCATTATATCATCTTTGTTCATTGTAATTCACCTGGTCATGTGTTTATAAAACAGACATTGGTTGCTAGTATTTCAGTTAACATAACTTTGAAATTCTTGAAATTTGAAAGTTTTACAGCAGGTTCAATGGAGCGTTTAATTTCACTCTAGTTTACTGATTCTTGACTATTAATTTTTGAAGCAGTTTTTTGAATATCCCTTGTTTTCCAGCTTCTCACATGAGCTTCTCAGCTTCTCTGATGAGAAGTGATCACAAAAACTGTTATGAACTCATTAAAGTTTCAATACTAAGTAATTAGAGAAAGTCAAGCTTAATGGCATATAATTTCTATGTTTTATATCATCGAGCTGATGACATTGTTTATTGAACGTACTCTTGTTTTAGATTAGGGTTTCCCCTCTAAATTTCTTTTTCCCGGAAAACTGACTGTAAGTAAGACCCCCCACCCCCTTCGGAAAATTTAACTTATAGACGCTAGAGTCTAGAGTAGGAGTTTTCCTACGGATAGTTGATTTCGGAGTTCTAGAATTATTTTCCTTCCTGTATAGTAGGTATTCCCGCTTCTTCTAATCTTGCTTTCACTTGTATTAACAGATTTAAAAAGAGGGAACATCTTCTATATACAGAAAGTTTAATCTTGCTTTAACATATAGTACCGTTGCTTGCATGGTACGGGGGAAAGAATGTTCGCTAGATAAAGTCGCAAAGCATGAAGTTGGTCCTAATCAGGCACTTTGCATCGTTTTTGAAAGGGGGGGTCAACCTGAGAATTTTTTTTGTACTTATCAAAATAAAGTTAACAAGCAAAAAAAAAAAAAACGAAAATTCAAAATTACCCAAACTCGAAAATCCTATTCCGTGGGGGGGGGAAAGGGGGGGGATTTCATTTTTTCAAAGGCAACTTCCTTTCACTTCCAAATTTTTTCCTATAATTCCTTGCTATGTAAATACTGTGACAAAAGGTGGGGGAGCAATAATCTTTTCAATAGACATTTTCAATAGTTAAGGTAATGTTGGGAAAAAAAGGTGGGGGTGGGGGTGGGGGGGTGGGAGAAGATCCCCCTGTTGCTACGTGCCTGCTTATGTCGCGGTTTCGAATCCGCTGCAGCACAAGAACGTGTATAAATCGAGTCCTGTGTCGCAGGATGTGCTGGCACAAAAGAGGTACTTTATGATCATTGCTCAAACTAAGGCACCGTTCACGGTAGCTCAGTCGGTAGAGCGCTCGCTCCGTGATCGGGAGGTCGTGAGTTCGTATCTCGGCCGCGACTGACCTAGTCGTTAAAATTGGTTCCTTCGCCATGCGCTCGGCACATTGAAGTGAAGTTGCGGGTTCTTCGGATGAGACCTTAAAAACCGAGGCCCCGTGTCAGCGGCAGGCGTTGGCACGATAAAGATCCCTCACTGCTCAATGACCTTGTCCGTCCATCCGTTTATCCGACTATGGATTAGCCCTAGATTTGTACACAGCTAGTTCTCATGTCTAAAATGGTATGAAATGATAGTTGATAAGAAAGCACGGGCACTTCTTTTGTTAAAGTCACTACAATGACTCTCGATGGCTCGAACTCTGATCTCTCAAAATTGAAACCCCTGTTTTATTTTTTCTCTATATAATTAAACAAATTTACTCCCAAAAACTCGAACGTTCGATCTCTAGAAGTTCGCAATACTGAGAACCAGAACTAGGTCCTGTCACACTTAGAAATTTCATTGTATTTGACTCTTGATCTATCAAATACATGTATTGATTTAGCGTGTATGCTAATCAAGCGTTCAATTTAATTCTGCTATTTATGACTTATCTGAATACATGTATAACTCTTAATGTCTAAGGCTCGAATGAATACGTTGATTGGGTGTTTTCCCAAATGACATTTAACCTAGCTGTGTGTTTTCCGAGAATTGATGATAAAATGTGTTCGATCATTAAAAAAAGACGTTTTCGACTAATTTTCTAATTTCCAAAATTAAAATGGATATGGAAATTCTTTGTTTAGGTTAATTTTTTTTAGATGAAGGAAATGAATGAAAAAAGTTAAGCTATTTAAATAAACTGCCTGTATACATTTAAATACACTTTTTTATTATGTTGAAAGAACAATTATCTCACATTTAGATTTTCACACATTTTTAAGATAAGATTTGATTTCAAAGAGTTATTTTTTAAATAGTTAAAAAAGATAAAGTAATGGTAATTTAATGCATTACTCTTAAAAATTAGAGTAACGGGAATGGTAAATTAATGTCGAAAATCTTGAAGTATTCCAAATGTAATTCACTATTTTACAATGTAATTCGCCCCAAGCCTGGTCAAATTCTAAGATCATTGGATTAAGAGTAGGGGGTACAGACAGACTCGAATCCTTTCTGTTTAATTTAATGACTATATATATTTTGGAGCTCACTAATTGACTATTAAATTAATATATAAAATACATTTCCCAGGTTAGAAATTTGATTATTATCAAATTAATTGTTCGAGCTCAAAATATTCGACTTGTAAATGGGTACACAGCTGCTATGGGTCGAGTTGAGGTTAAGAATAACGGTGCATGGGGAACTGTTTGTGATGACGACTGGGATGACATAGATGCTGCTGTAGTGTGCTCTATGCTAGGATTTTCAAGGTTAGATAGGAAGAGAATCAAAACCATTAACTTGTACATGCATTACGTTTTTTCATCGTCATTTCATTAAGGATTATCAGCAGATCATCAAAATTGAAATATAGAACATAAGACTGACTAGTGATATTGAAGAGATTCTTTTTTTCAGGGAAAATGCAGTAAAGAACAGTGCTTTCTTTGGACAAGGACATGGAAGTATATGGATGGACGAGGTTAGATGTACAGGAACGGAGACTAATTTATTTCATTGTTCTAAATCAGAGCTTGGTACACACGATTGTACCCATGGTGAAGATGCAGGAGTTGTTTGCTCATTAGGTACGTTTATCAACAACCTGGCCTAGAACAATGTACCAGTATAGATAATTTAAAAATAACTTTTTCCCTGGGCCTTTTAGAAAAAAATTGAACTGTGTTAAATTTACGTTGAAAATATAGTAATTTTCAATCGGACAATTCACTCCGACCACGCTGGTGATTGCACATGATTATTTGTTTAAAAATGTCATTTTACCTTTAGCCCATATGTTATGACTTTCTTAATTGCATATTGTCCTACATTTTTTTCCTTTTATCCCTGCCATTTTAATTAAAATTTATAGAACGTCAATCTGGAATGTAATATATATCGACAAGAAAGTCTCTTACAAGTTTTTTTTTTCAAATACTTGCGCAAAAAGCACTTTCTATATTCAGACATTTACATTTTACTATATTTACTATTTTATTACATGTAGCTTTAATCAATAAAAATGTTTCTGACTTGAATGTATGCCAAAACACTTTTGTATATAAAAAGTCCATAAGGTTAATTTACCTTATAGTAGAATAAGATTAAGAGTCACTGATGTTCAGTCTGACTTTGCCAATTATTGTAATTGTGATTGTGCCGATATATATTTGTATTTGTATAAAAAAAACAGCAGCGAAAATTTTTTACGAATGTTTGTCACTAACAGTTCAGTTCTGGAAGATATGATTGAAGATAATAATTGATTAAAGAAACTATTTTTGGCTACATCCGATTCGAGTGACATCAATAGGCAGAAAATTAAGTTTTATTCTTCCGATGAAAGCTATCACCCAAAAATGTGTCAATAATGGCAAAAATATGCATTTTCGACCACTTCCGGTGATGTTTTGATGATGTCACTGGTTGCCACTAAATATTTTGTACAACTTTGTTTTAATAATGTATAACAGAATTTTTACGGTTATTGAAGTTTTGAGAAAAAGCTTTTAGCCCATCAAAATCCCTTCTTTTAGAGGCAAGACCCTTGATGATTATATTTGATGAAAGATATTGTAATTTTGTATAAGTATTGTTCAATATGTCTTTACAAATTATTTACTGAAAAAGGGACAAGGAAGAAACAGCGTCGAAATTTTTGAAATTTCAATATGCCTTTTTCGGACCATAGCGAGCGCCGATGTGAGGTGTTTCCGGTAAAAACAAAATGCGAAAAGCATATCTACAGAAATAAGTCTTTCAGACCTGAAAGTTTAATGTTTCTATCTCAAGCCATTCATGAGAAAAAACTCTGGACAACCTGACCCTTTAAAAATCATAAAATCGGCAATATCTTAGACCGGAAGTGATTTCATAAAAAAGAAACCAGTAGTCTCTGTCGAGACTGTAGCTCTACTGGTTTGTACTTATAATAAACGAAGAGAAAAGTAGCATTTGGGACTTAAAACTTTACAAAAACAACATATAAAATAACTAGAGCAAAGCTCGTTGCAAACC